AATAGCCAATCTGGGCAAATCTAGCAACTTGTCTAGCTCCTCGCTGCAGCATCCGATGACGATGACACGCATATGCTCGCGAAGCTGCTGATGAGACCTTCAATTTGCACCGCTTCTTGGAATAGCCCGTCCCCTACTTGCCAAGAAATGGCAAGAGGCGTCTGGACCCGAAATTTCAATTTTTTTGGCTCTCGCTCTCAATCAGATACTTCGCTCTCAATCAGGCGAATATGTTGTTATATGCAGATTCTATACTCAAATCAATGCTCAAATCCTAGTCTAAAGCTTAAGATTTTAGCTGATGATTTATGATCATGAATCGAAGATATGACACTCCACAAAACATTCAAAGGAGGGTGAGTTGTAGAAATATCCCGAATCAATCCCCCACACGATCATTGAGATGAAGAATGCGAACGGTCACGAGACGGAACATCGACATCTCAATGACAACGCTTGAAGGGATAAAGCCACGAAGAATATATATTGCGGCAGAGCACCCTATCATCCTGAACAGACGACGACAGGGAAAAAAAAATCAATATCCAGACGCCACACACCACTCTTTTCTGCGCACCCGCGCGTAAAGGAATGAGGGTGACTACCCGAGCTAGTCCAAAATATGGTGACGAAACTCAAAACCCAAACAAATTTCCGAACGAATACGGTCTTTGATACTGGACGCGACGCAAAGGGGAAACGCAACGGACTCTTATGACGTTAACGAAGGGCAGGATAAAAGGACGACAGGCAAAGGCACGGAGAACGATGGCCAGCGTGCCAGGGTACCCAACTCGTATAAGGAGACAGCAGGGGCAAGACCTATTGAGGACCAAGGATCCAAAGCACAAGCGATAAATGCAAGAGAGGCGGTCGACGAACTGGGCCATGGCTCGCTGGCGATACGCGTCATTCCAAGACATAAAACACAGAAAGTCGTAGAGATTCACACAACAAGGCGACGACTCAGGGGCGCTACTGTGATGAAGGCGTCGCCCGAAGGTGGCGATGATGGAGACGAAGCAGAACGAAGTGTGGGTGACGACGAAAATCCATGGGAGAAGGCGACGCCACGGGATGGAATCCCAAAGCACCAAGCGTATGCGACACTTCCGCGGTACGATGGAACTAAAACAAAAAACATTCAAGACAAAATTAGTTGGCAAACAGGCGAACCAGGAAACGCGGGGAACTCGGTGTCCAAGTGCCCCGAGGTAAACATCACCGACGAAATTCGGGGAACTCTTTTCCCAAGTGTTCAGAGGCAGACAACACCGACGAAACTTTGGAGGGAGCTTGTTGAGAGAACCAAAGACCAACAACAACAACAAAAATTGGAGCAAAGGCGAGAGAGAACGGACATCCAGGTTGCGGCAGTTCACTGATTCAGATCCATGCAGGCAACAAGGAAGCATGATCACTCGACACTGCGTGTCTTTAGGCGGCGTTGCCCCAGCGTCCAAATCAAATAAGCCAACGAGAGAAAAATGACAAGACAGAAAAATAAACAAAACAAAATATAACAAAACGGAAGGTGGCAAAAAAAAAAGAAGAAGCAAATCGTCGGCGAGAGGGATGGCACAAAAGACCAAAATAGGCCGATAGGTATACCAAAACGGCGACGCTAAGAAGAAACGGCGGGAACAGCCGACGGTAAGGAGTCAGCAAGGAGCGGAGTGAGACCACGGCTGTCGCCAAGAGGGCGCGAACGATGTTTCTCTAAACACCATGATCCACAGACGGCGTCCAAGGCGGTGGAGTAGAGATGCGCAGGCAGAGGCAGAACGCTTGGGCCCGGGTCATCCAAAAATCGAACGATGTACGAGCCGCCCTGATGAGCACCAATGCGTCCGGTCCACCACAATCCATCACGGGCCTTGTACCACAGTCGCGCGCCAACAGGGAGGGGCGAAGTGCTGAAACGGCGAAGCCAAGTCGCGTCAAGCACAAGATCAGCCCCAGGAGGCAAATAGCGTTCTCCACGATTCCGGGCTAGCTCCCGCTGTGCCGCGCGAGTCCGAGCCACTCGATATGTACGGTTACCCTGCTTGCTTTGGCAGGCCTCCCGGGACCAGTACAAGAGGATGTGTCGACGGAATAGATCAAGGTCGGATTCCCGTTCCCATGAAGGAATAGTCAGGCCTACCCAATGCGTCTGGTACAGGACAGCGAGAACGCCGCTACGGCCCCGCACCAGTTGATGTCCCGAGATGTAGTCGACCTCGAGGCGCCCGACAGGCACCGACACATCATCCGCGGTGACGTGGAAAGGTGGACATTTATCTCCGAAAGAGTGCAGAACATAACGCGAAAGCTCGGGGGGCAGAGATTGCGGCAAGTCGTCCGTCTCGTACGGATTTCGACAGGGCTTGCAACGAAGGACAGACACGCGACAACGAGCTGCCGGGCCGGAAAGATCGGAAGGCAGGTCCAGGTAGAGGAGTTTATGCGCCAACGGGCGGCCGTCCGGAGTGGCGTCGGCAGAGGCGGGACCCACCGCAAGAACTTTGTAGGGCCCCGTCCAGGAAAGTGCGAATTTGGCCTTGAGCACCTGTTGGTCCGTGTCCTTCTGCACACCCTGTCGAATTGTAGCAGACGTGTTGTACACCCAAGCCCACCCGCCAACGGTAAACTGAGGGAGCTTGTGGATGGCGTCCAGCAGGGATGAATTTCGGCGTTCGACTCGCGAAATCTTCAGCGCGTTGTACTCACGGACAAGTTCGTAGGCCCGGCGCTGGCGATCGACAGCCAGGTTGCAATACTCGAGTTGATCGCGGGCCAAGCTTTGATGACCACCTACCGTGGGATGATCGAAGACCGAAAGCGGGAGTCGCGGGATGCGTCCGATGTGGATCTCGTTTGGCGCTAATCCAGTAGACTGGTTCACGGAATTGTTGTAGGCAAACTCAACGTGCGGGAGATGTATGTCCCAATCGTTTTGCTGTTCGTTGACGACCACCGCAAGCATCTGGGCCATCGTGTGGTTGACGCGTTCAGTGCCGCCGTTGGTCTGTGGGTGGTAGGAGCTGGTGGTGACCTTCTTGATCTTCATCACCTCGTAGATCGCCATGGAGAGCTTCGAGCAGAAATGCAGTCCGTTGTCCGACAATAACGTAGTCGGACATCCCCACTTGGTCATGTATTGGTTGACGAAGATGTGAGCCGTCCCTCTCGCCGTAAATTCCGCCGCTGTAACTGCGAACATGTCGGCTCTCCGACTGAAACGGTCTGTGAACAACAAAATGTAGGAGTTGCCCTTGGCAGTCACTGGCAGAGGTCCGAAGAAGTCGACGCCGACGACCGTACCAGGCCCCTGCGGCAATGGCAGAGCGATGACGGGCCACCGAGCAGTCTGACGTGAAGTCTTGCGAGCTTGACACACCAAACACGCCCGAAGCCACCAGCGCACGGAACGATCCAAACCAATCCACCAGTAGAAGCGCTCGAGCAGACGCTGTGTACGATGGACGCCGAGATGGAATGACGCGGCCGTATGGCATGCATGAAGGACCCACGGACGCATCAGCATTGGCACGTAGACACGGGGCACGCCAGTATCCGGCAGACGAGTGGTCCTGCCGCCAGAGCGCCCAACCGGCGACGTCGCCGATTTATGTACGACGAGGGTGATGTTGTCATCGGTCGTGTGCAGTCTGGTTTTCGCCGCCAACACAAGCACATCATCTAGCCGAGGGGAGCGAAGAGGAGCTCACAGAGTGAGCAAGCCCGGAGGGGGTGGGGAGGGAGAACCGCAAGACAAAAAACGCATAGCCACCACACACTCGCTCTCCCGCTGCTGTTCCCTAGCCCAGTCCCCGGTGCTGAAACTCTGAACACAAGCCCGCAAGTGGGAGGTGTCCAAATCAGAAGATTCCGAAAAAAAATCAGGCGATCCAATGGAAGAGGCGGCAGCAAGGCGAAGCCTCAGCGACTGGGGCAGCCGCAGTCCGGGGTGATGTCCGCGAAGGGGACATTGTGAGTGGCGAAGTCCCGGGCGAAACCTGTAGAGAAGGCGAAGTCGGGGATGCAGGGCGCGCCGCTAACGGCGAAGACACCGGTGGCGCAAGAGCAGTCGACGAAAACGCTGATGCCGGCGTTGGGGATGGCGGCAGCAGACGCGCGGCGGTCCGGGTGGTCTTGTTTGTCGAGCGGGACCTGCTAGAGCGACGGGCAGGCGACGATGTCCGAGGGACGATGGTAGCCCGCGGCTGGCGTCCGAAATAAGCGGGACCGGTGACGGTGCCTCCGGAAACTGCGGTAGTTTTGGCCCGAGTCCGTGAAGAAATGAGCGGTCCCTGCTATGGAAGCAAAGACAAAACGTCACATATCTAGTCGCCAAAGACGCGACAGGAGACATCACGCGGGACGCATCCGAAGTCAATAAGGAAGCAGGCCCTGAAGATGCGAGAACAGGCGAGACGATAAAGACCCCCGGGGACCGCTGAGAATTCTCGCAGGCAATCTTTGAGTCCGTCAGAGCATCCACCCGACGCGGGTGATGTCGGCGAAAATCCCCAAAATCGGAGGGCTGCAACGCTGGGGGCGAAAAGATTCCTGCCGTGCAAGGAGGGCGGAGCCCACCCAAACCGACCTCCGGTGTAGACGACGAGTGATAGTTGCGCCCGCAAGCCCAAATGAGGAAAACACCCGCTTGATCGACACCATCAATGCAGTCGCGGCCGGTTTTGTCCGTGTCTTGTGCTGGCAAAGGCAACCGCGAAAGAAAATCCGCGTTGCCATTTGCCGAACCTGGCCGATATTTCAGGGTGTAGGTGAAGTTGGACAGAAATTCGAGCCATCGTTGCACTCTAGCGTTGTGTTCTCCACCTTGCCAATGCTCTCCAATGCTTTATGGTCCGAATACATGATGAACTTGGTCGACCACAGATTACCGCGAAGGCGTTTGATGACCCAAACAATGCCACCAGCCTCCAGATCCAAAATGGTCCAGTTACGCTCCGCAGGAAGAGTAGCGCGGCTGATGTACACGATGGGTCTCACCGAGCCATCGAGCTGTTCTTGTTCCAAGGAGGCGCCAAAACCGTCGATACACGCGTCGGAACACAAACGAAGAGGACGGCTGTTGTCCTCGATTGCTGCCCAATCCGGGAAGACCAAAATCGGGGGGCGAGCGAGTTCGCTTAACAACGTTTTGACAACCTTGACCATGCCCGGGGTGTACTTGAAGGGGACGCCTTGTTTGAGAAGAGAGTTGAGAGGCCGCACCTTGGTGGCGAGATTCTTGAGGAATTTCCGGTAGTAACTGAGTCCACCGAGAAGGCTCCGAAGCTGCTTAACATTCGTCGGCGGCGGCATGTGCGTGAGCGTCCTAACCTTGACGCCATCAGGGCTAACACCTGCCGGAGAGGTGGTGTGACCGAGAAAGTTGGCGTGCGTGGCGCCGACGCGCCCCTTCCCTGGAGACAGTTTGAGGTTGTACTGTCGCAGTCGTTTGAAGAACTCAATCAAGTTCAGCACGTGTCCCAGAGGTTCCTCATCGAAACAGATGACATCGTCCAGATAAGCCAGCACATGCTCCAGACCGTGCACCACTCCGTTGATGACCTTGACGAACCAAGACGGACTTGCGTTGGCGCCCCGCGGCATCCGAAGCCATTCGAACAACTGCGTGGGAGTGAAAAAGGCGGTGAGCGGGACAGTGTCTTCATCACAAACGATCTGGTGGAAAGCCGAGTTGAGGTCGAAGATGGAGAACACTTTCCCGGTGTACAGAGAATCCAAGATACCGTCCTTTTGAGGGAGGGGTTGTCCATCCAAATCCACCAGAGCGTTGAGATGTTTGTAGTTGACGGTGATGCGAACAGATCCGTCCTTCTGGGGGATTATAACAAAAGGAGAAGCCCACGGAGATGTGGAATGTTGAATGAGCCCTGCCGCCAAATACTGGTCCAAAATGGCATTCACTTTCTTTTGCATCAACGGGTTGATACGATACGGGCGTGATGCAACGGGCTTCGTCCCTGCTGGGACAGAAAGCGTGAAC